TCCCAGAATCCAGCGCCTGAACAAGCTCAGAGCCTCTGCACGGCTCAGCCCAACGGCACAACCCAAAGCTACCTGCTCCACAGCCCTCAGCCAGGGCCACCGAGCGACAGAGCTCCCTCGAGTGCCCTGTCCCTCAAGCTGGGCACTCGGGGCGAGAGGCAGAGAGTGCTCAGAAAGCGAGACGGCTGGGAAGGATCTCCTCGCCCCCTGCCAGGCCAGGGCCCGGTGCTCAGCCCACGGCACCGCTCAGAGACGGTGGCGGGGACTCTCTGGGCGCTGGCTACAGCGACAGAGCCACGACTCAGCTTTGCCCCAACACTAGGAGCCACAAAGTCCTTATCCACCCAGTACGGTGACCTCTGTGCTCCAGATCCAGGTGACTCCCAAGGAGCCCAGCACAGGGAACGAGCCCAGCTCCCCTGGGTCCCACGCAGAGCCATACCTCGTGGGGACACACAAGTTCCTTCAGGAACCACAGGGTTGCCCAGCCTGGCCGCTGCAGCGTGGCCAAAGCACCAGGAAAACAGGAGCGCCCTGGCTGATGCTGAAGGGTTGAGGGCTGCTGCCTTCAGTGCCTCGCTGCTGGGTTCTCATACGCTGTTTCCTACCTTCGTTTTTCAGGTGGGAAACCCCTCGAGGCTGAAAGCTCAGCACTCCTGAGGCGGCAGCAAGGCGCTCAGCCCACCGCGCAGCGGACGCAGCCTCTCCCTCGTGCAGGGCTGTGTCAGTTCAGCTGCCGCCCCACCCACCCTCGCAGCTTTGCAGGTGCAGTTACACCGCTGCTGCTGCCCATCAGACGTGCTTGGTCCAAACCAGCCAGCTGAGGAACAAGAAACTGCAGCACACAGAGCTCTCAAGGACAAGCTGCCCCGGATAAACACTCCGTGACTTCATGGTCTCCGAGCTCTGTGCCGCTGGATCTGCCTCGCTAACGGTGCCCGGGCTTAGCGCTAGCTGGGGTCTCCCCACAGAATTTGCAGTAACAGCCGCACACACAGACAGCAAAGGCATTCTTATCTTATCTATCCGTATTTTTCCAGCTATGCACACACAGCATCACAGAACCCAGGGCTCAAGCGCAACCAAGTACCTTCAAGCCTTCACAAGGGACTGTGAAAAAAGGCTTTTTCCTCTCAAGGTCAAGAGACCTCCTGACACACTTCAAGCTTCTCTGACAGAAACGGCTACGCTTGAAGAAAAAGAATTCCTCCCTACCCAAACAGATCCTTCTTTTTAAAAGAGGGGAAAAGCAGTTATGCAGGGAAAGTACAAACCAATGTTTTTCAACTAGAAAGGAAAAAAACCCTGGCAGTAGAGAAATTAAAGGTCAGAGGGCAACCTTTTTTTTGTGGAAAAAGCTGTTCTCTGCCCACAGCTAAATATTGAACGAAGCCGCAGAATCCTATGGCTGAGTTCAGAGAACTTTTGAAGCTGAGCCAGCCTTTCAGCACAGACATTTTCTCTGGTAAACGAAGAGCCGAGCTAAGCCCTAACAACAATCAAACACAAGGTCATTTACCAGTCAGGGCCCTCAGGCCACACAGAGCATCCACCTGACATCCCCAGAAACACAAGTACCCGAGTAAAAAGCACTCTGTGTGGCACGAGCTTGGACAGACTGCCTGACTGTCAGATGCTCCAGAGCAGCTCTCAAGAGAGCTCAGCAGAGAATACCAGCTGTCTTCTGCGGGCAAGTCAGGCTGCAGGGGTATTCCTCTGCTCTGAGGACACTAATAAAAGCCAGGAGACCTCTGCTCAGCAGCCAAACCTAGTTCTGTGCCTATAAGCCGTTGGCAGCAACCTGCCACTTCTGGCACCGCAGGTTTGCCCACAGGAGTGGGCGATGATCCTCAGGACCCCCCTGCGGGCTCCAAAGGCTCCTCCTGGTAGCATCAGCCAGACAAGCAAGGGAGATGCTCCCGGGCGAAGCAGCCAGGATCTAACCCGGAGAAACAGGGACTGCCCGAGCCAGGGCTGGGGACCATCAGTGCCCAGAACTCTGCTCGACACCACCTCGCACGAAGAGCATGTTTGGGACAAAGCAGAGACGAGGTCCAACGCAGTCCTTGAACAAACACCTACCTGACCCATCACATCTTCATCGTAGGACAGCGTTAAGCCCAAGTCACTGATATCACCATCATAACGCTAGAGGAACAAGAGAGAAAGGGAAAGAAGGTCAGTGCTTACCAGCAGGAACAGCAGCTCTGCATTTTCATACTGCTCTTCCACTAAGTGATCCACAGCAGGCATGAGGCATCAAAGCGTAACAAATACAGGAGTTGCTCTAGGTCATGGAGAGCCTGCACAAAAGCAGAGGCTAAAACTTGGGATTTCCTGATTGCCAGTTCCAGGTTTACACTTCAGACTCCTTTCTCATCCCTGCTCGCCCCAGTAAAAACACAGGACAGCTACCGCCAACCACCTTCGGAATCACCAGTTACTTCCAGGGTGTTTTTAAAAGATGATCAGTACCCCAAAGGCATTTTCAAATCTAGTATCAATAAGGGAGTTGAACAACAGTAAAAGTAATGCTCAAACCTTAATTGAAGTGAGATTTTTATAGAACTCTGAGTCCAAGGAGGGAAGTTCATCTACGGAGCTGTAGAAGACACTGTGGTGGTGCCCAAGCAGCTGACTCAAGAAGAAGGAGGCAAATGGTACATCCACGACTATTCCCTACAGACAACAAGAACACACAGGTAAGGTCCTGCCACCTACTTGTCATGGGCAACACCTTTGGTCACCTGCAGGCAGATCCTGTGCTGTGGAACCAGCGCAAAGATGCAAGACATTGAAGCCAGCTAAGAAAACCACATCCTTTTAAAAACCATAAATTGGTGGAGCAGGTGCAAAAAGGCAACAGGGGAACTCCACGTTTCGTTTAGAAGAACTGCCTTAGATGGAGAGGGTCTTTCTGTCATTCCATCCTCCTTTTAGCCACACAGCCCCTTAACTAAGGTATCAACAAACGGATGTTTGTAAGGTAGAACTCCAAAATAACAGATTACTCCAGCTAGTCTGGTCCCCAGCAGCAAGAATAATAATCAAGGTATGTCCCAGGTTTTACCTCCAAGATTATTTTTAATACAGGCCTGAAGAAGTGCCAAACTGCTCCACCATCAGCGTCTTTACCCGAGCTATTTTATCAAACTCACCTCTTCAGTGCCACCTCCCCAGGCAATGAGAGATGCTCTCAAAGGCAAGGGGCACCACCATAGAACTGCACCTGAGCAGGGCTGTACTACTATGGTACTTTTGGCTCACCTCATACACAGCCTTCCCAAGCATCTTCCCCACGAACTCGAAGAGCTGTAGGTAGTTCTCGTGAATGTAGGATGTTGGGGAGGGATACAGCCTCTCGTCGCCGCTCGTGGTCTGCGCACAAACAGAGGTAACGGCACAGTCAGCCAGCCTGCTTCTGCTTGCACGGTCAGCACCTGCAGCCCTGCGTCATACCCTGAACAAGTTGAGTGCTGGGTCAAACACTTTTTTTATTATCTCTTCCAGAAACTCTTTGAAGACACCATCTTGGTCAATACCAGCCTCATCGACTCCCAGATCATTCACAAACTTCACTCTGATCACTCCCTTCATGGCGTTCTGGGAAAGCTGCCGTAGCTGTTCATATCCATCCTACACAGAGCAGAAGAGCCAGAGGACAATCATACAGGGAGACACGTGAAACACCCATGCAGACATGCAGCAGAGACAGGAGACAGACACACCACAGAAATCTGCATTTGTCATCGAATTTTGTGCTCACAAAGACCAGCACTTTTCCCAGTCAAACCTCCAGGTTGGCAGCAGTCTGAACTGAACTAAGGTCCAGCATTTCCCTGTAACACCACTTCATACAAAAGCAGAAAGAACCAGCACCGGGTCCCTCACAGGGAAGGTAAAAACATATCCACACCCCATACTCTCATCAGGCCACGTTACTGGCCTTTGGTTGGCTTCTGCAAGGCAGGTCACTCACCTCCAGCATCCGTGAGCGGCGGATTGTGATGTGTGTGACGTGAGGTGACGCAGAGCTGGTTTCAACCAGCCCAAGCTTCTCCTTCTCCTTTGTAACCATGTTTCGGAAAAGCAGCACCCTCTTAAAAAGAGAACAAACGTTAAGTCTCCATCCACAAGGATCCTTATTCTCCAGCGCAGCGGGGCGTTCAGATGCTCCCGAGGCACGCCCAGAACCAGCTCTTCGTTGTCCCGTTCCCAGCTAGGCCCAACGATGCCACTGTCACCTACTCACCAGAAATGGTGAGATCTGCCTCCTTGTTCCCCAGTGGGGCAGACAAATCCTTGAACCTCTGCTTTGGGAGGGACAAGGTACCCACAATACTGAAAGGAAAAGCACCTTTTCTATCACCACATAAAAACCTGTCATCTCTGCAGATTTGCTACCTGCAAAGAGACACCCTGCTGCTTTCTCCAAAGCCACATCGTGGATGACTCTGCACAGCTGCCCACACAAATAAGCTCTCAACGAGAGAAATCAAGACAGTTAAGAGGAAATATACTGGAGAAAGTGGTGGGGGAAGAAGACTTCTGTTCAACTGGCATTTCAATCACCAGCTCGTCACGAAACGCTCAAGACGCACGTCCCTTCCATCCCAGGCCACCCAGGTCACTGGCTTGTCAGCCTCCATCCTCTGCCCCCGTTCCCACTCACGTTCTTGTGGGGAATGACGTGCGGGATGTACTGGAGGAGCAGCTGGGCTCGTTTCTTGTCCTTGTCCAGCTCCTGGAAGAGCACGCTGGGTTTGAGGTCCCTTTAAAAAGAAAGGCACAGAGATGCCTGAGAAATGCCCAGGAGTGGTAAACAGCTGGGGGCAGGAGAGAGAGGAAACCTGTAATGATTTCAAAGACAACTTAAGTGCTCAGGTGCACACATCTAAGGTGGCCAGAGCCACTCAAGCTGTTAGGTGCTGAGTCAGTTTTCAAAGCACCACCACCAGGAGCAGCTGAGCCTGAGCCTGACGCCACAGAAGAGAGGCGCAAGAGGAGGGGTGTCCTCAAACGCAAACCCAGGGAGCAGTTCTGACCCTGACCTCGCAGGCACAATGACAGACACTCAATTTAAAGTAAGGTATCCCAAAGCAGCCACCCACAGGGCAGCTGGCATGCTGGGATAAGCCCACAGCCGCACAGGATCCTTGCCTTGAGCCAGACACTTACTTGCGTAACCAGTGATCCTCGGGAGCAAACCGCCTGCGGCAGTCCCTCTCGTACAAGACCATGAGCCAGCCGTGGACGGAATGGAACAGCTCCAGGGTCTCCCCTCTGGCATTCTCTGGACAAGAGGAACAAAGCGGCAATGCCCAGGCACCCCGGGTAACAGGAGTGCCCAAGAGCACCACACTGATCGCCTCCCCACGCCAACAGGACGGGTGTGTTTCTCCTAACCCCCGCTGCCTTCAGAGGGAAGGAAGAGATTTTGTGTCTCCCAGAGGACAGGTCTCTTCTTTGATCACAGTGAAAAAACTCCTCGCCACTTCAGAGCCGTCTCAGCCAGCTCCAACTGAGCCATCACCACAGAAACGGACTCTCCCATCTGATTGCCAGAACTGAGCTGGACCGAACGGACAGATCAACACCAGGTATCCGCAGGGACGCTCGCAAGCCTGCTCTGCTGCCTCAAAGCACGGTATCACATTCTTGTCCAACGCATGGCCCAGTCATGCTAAATAGTTTCTGGCAAAAACCAACATGTCCCCCATGCCTGTTACACAAATTCTTACTGGAAATGGAGAATTGTGCCGTCTCTGGTGCCGAGCACAACAGTGGCATCTGGACACCCAAAGTCTGGGACACAGTCTCACACCACACGATGAAGTATGTTTTTTGTGCAGAGTCATAACTAGCAAGGTCCTAATTCCAAAAGTAATGCCATTTGTTGTTCCAGTAGTACCATCAACTCAAGCTGCTAAAAGCACTTACCTACAATTCCATCCCAGATCATCTTAAATACAAAGGAATTCAGGAAAGACGAGATGGTAACAAGCTCTTCCAGTTTGAATGAAATCTGCTCTTCATAGACTTCTATGTCATCAAGAATCCTACCAGAGAAAACACATGCAAATGCACAAGGGTAAATTTAAATTGCCTTTTGAAATTTTCATAAAGGCACATCATCCTTCAGCAGCAGCTCTTATTTCTACGACGACTGACACCCACGAGGATCCAAAGTCATAAACAACTAAACCGTATTTATTGCTTTTGATCGATATCTGACCCTAACAGAAGCCACTATGAAAGGTCTGATACAAGCAAAGCCAGCACTTCATAGTTAAAAGGACCTGCGCACTTATCCCCAAGAAAACGTGTTCATCATTCAAGCTAAGAACACTGTCTCTACTGACCAGCAAGGGCCGTTTCCCACCCCCTCTCCCACCCAAGTCCACGAGCGAGACGGCAAAGGAGTTGCAAACAGAAGCACCTAAGCTGGCAGCTTTCTTGCAGCAGCATTGTAACACTGGTCCTCAAAGCCTATCTGGGCTCACCGAAGTGTTCGCTTTGGACTGACACAACTGTTGTCCACAAGCAGCCGAAGAAATTCTTCTTCCCCCTCCCTACCCAGCGCTGTCCTGTTCTGTTACCAGGGCAGCCAGCTGCATGTCCCTGAAGCAGCACAGGGCTGAGGGGGAAAGTCCTTTTGAAGACCTTTATTTCGCAGGACTGCATCCGAAAAGCTCGCTGCTTTCCTCTGCCCAGGTATCTTTATGCGAAGGCAGCAACACCTTAACTATTCCTCTTGAAACTCAAGGAACACAACAGCTTCATGTCACGCGCCTAGAGAGCACCCTCCGCTTGCTACCTACGTGATAAGGTGGCGGGAGCAGTCACAGAAGAGCATCAGCATGGCCAGCAGCCTCTTGGATTCCTCCGTATCATTATTCAAGCACTCCAAGAAGAGTTTTAACCCACCCTGGGGTCCCAGCTCACAGATAAAAGCCCATAATTTGGGCAACAGATCATCCAGGTAAGTGAGGCCTAGCAATGGAAAAAACACAAAGCACACTCAGTAAAGCTTGTTCCGCCCGCTTGCTCACGCAGGCTCAAAGGGACGAGCGTGACTGGGAGCCGAAAGGTCCTTTGGCAAAGCAAGGCTTTACTTGAAGGGAAAAGCAGCATCACATTTGGCTCCCAAGCCTGTCTGCGTTAACGGGAGATGTACAATCCCCAGGAAAGCAGGAAAAAAGGCATTAATTTAATTAATTTAATAAGGCATTAGTTGCCTGCACTTCTGAAGCCCTTTCCCACTGACTATTTTGCAACTTCTGAATTAATTCCTGCGGCCCAATCACCATTGCAGCCATCCTGGAGATGGGGACGGGGTTGTCCCTGTGGTCACCACTACAGCCACAAACAAAGCATCCAAGGCTGTGGACTCATTCCTCTGCTCTAGCCACTGGCCCAAAACAGCGCTCATCTCCTCCTCCATCCATTCCCGAGACAGGTAATTTGTTCTTAAGACGTATGGAAGCATTCAGTGTTTCCACCACATAAAGATTAATATTGCTAGGCTTCTCAAAAACACTGACTCAGTCTTAAGTTTGATATGGAGTAAGCAAGGCTTCGTTATAGGAAAAGTTGCTTCAATTTGTATTCTGGAGAGTTAATGCTTGATAAAGAAGTGATGAATGTTATTGATCAGAGGTATGATTCAGGATGGAACAAGCCTTCCACCCAGCCAGTCAATAAACTGTTGTCAGTAATAAAACTACCAACAAGTCAACAGAATTTAATAAGAAAAATCTATTTTTTTTCTCCACATTTTTAAGCGATTCGAAAAGCACAGCTGTGCCCTGACCTGTGAGTATCTGCAGGCGGATCTGCGTCAGCGTCGTGAGGGTGGTTTGGTAGAGGACACAGATGCTGCACACCTTCTGCACCTCTGCCGAGTCCACCCGCTTGCCTCCAACGGGCTTGAGGATGTTGCGGACAGAGGCAGACTTCTGGAAAGCTCTCTTGAACAGATCTGGGGACAGAGAAGCACAGAAGTGCTACTCGAAAGCACTTCTCACTCTCAGCCACTTGGCAGCCCTGCGGTAAAGGGGATTTTAGCACAAGAAGCAGGAGGTTTGGGTGGGCTTTCCTGGCAGAACACTGTGTAGCTGCTCGCCACGCAAAGCACATTTCAGTGGGGCATTAGTCTAGAGCTTAAAACCTTGCCAGAACTGCAGTAACTAATGACCACAGGATTAGTGCTACGGGCAGTGGCTAGAAACCAGCTGGATTATCTTATCCAAATATCTCTCTTCTCCAGATACTCCTCCGCAGAATCACCACGCACCGCAGGTGCATGAGCCAGCTTCACCTTGCTTTTCACTCGGGAAGCTGGCCTCCCACCTTGCCTGGGGAAGTACTAATTTATGCAGTAAGCACTTCAGCTGCTTGAGAAACAACGGAAGAAACCTGCTAAAATAAGCAAATATTTTCACAGCACCAAAGAAAGAGACTTGCCCCAGGTCACGGAGGCGTTCTGAGCAGGAATTACAAATAGGAGGGACCATATCCCCAACTAAGCAGCAGCAGCTGCTGCAAGTAATTACTCAAAGCTTTTAGCATAAGTGGAAAAGTCAAAGCCCTGGGAGTCTGTGAGAGACACACACACACACACACGGAGACACAACGAAAGCAACCCTCCAGAACTAACTCTTCATGGGAAGGCTGTTCTGAGGGGAAACTGGCTGTGTTGGCAGCTGAGCTATTTCCTGATTCTCCAGCAATTTCTTGCTGAGCACATCACTGAAGAGGATGCGGATCATATGGACTCCCCAGAGATGCTGCAGTTGCTTCGTCAGCAGAGGCATGGACTCATTCAATCTAGAAGACAAGTCAGAGAGACACTTAGAAGGCAGACTGGAATAAAACATCAGACAGGGATGCTTTGATACATTTAGCTCCCAGTCAAAATGGAGTATGCACCCACCCTACAGATGGTCCTCACAGGAAGAGCTGCTATCGAGTGTACCGGTACGGCCAGTGTTTACCAGTCTAACTATACCAAATGAATTCCCTTATGCAATAGTCTGTGTGCGAACGCAGAGGTTTATATTGTGCAGATACAGCCTGAAATATCTGAGGAGTTATTCTGTCACACTGTTCACCTCAAAACATAAAACACATTGCAGCATATAAAAAAAAAAATAAATAAAAAGGAAAAAAAAATAAAAAGAGAGGCCTATTCCTCTACCACCATCAGGCCCTCCTCACTTACCCATAATCCACAGTCTGTGAAAACCAGCCCAGGACAGGATGCCAGTGGGTGAGGTTGGATTTCTTTTGTGAAACGTACTTCTGGCAGTAGGAGAGCATGTGGATGAGCACACCCACAAAGTGAGCTGTCTCCTCCTCGAGAACTCTGTCGTTCAAGGAGCCCAGGTACACAAGATTACCTGGGGGAAGGGCCAGCACAGCAAGACTTAGAAGAGGAACTGCGGGACAGCGATTACAGACATCACAGATTCAGTGAACTCACACCTCTTGTCAAGTCCAGGAGAGATTTCTGTGAAGAATGGCTGCTAGAGGCTACCCTGCAGCAAGCCATTTCCAGCACACACCGACCACTAAGGCGGCATGTCACCTCGGCCCTCTCATCTGTATCCCCCCCC